TACAGCCACATTTAGTATTGTTACCACACAATGTACTGAATGTTTTTCAACAATGTTGCAAATTTTAACACACACTGTTCAGTACAATTCTGGATTATAAGTCAAGTTGGAAAATGTGATCTTTTTTGATTGGTCAATATTAGCCTTAGAGTGCTTACCTTTTGTTATCATTAGTAATGAAATCAGCATATGGAGGTGATACTTCATGCTACAGAACAACTCACACAATTTTTTTTATTTTCCACACTTTGCACTGGGGAGGAGATGTAAAGCCTCCATGCTCACTCCATGCAGAGGGATAAATACCTATAAATCACCACTGCACCTTGGCATGCACACTGTTGTCAGCAGCACCATGGAGGACTGGTTGACATTACTTACATTTGAAAAGCCAATGCATGAAGACAACTGATGGGAAGACTAGGACATTAAGATTGATTTACTTCTATTGCATTAATTTTACACTTTCACTTATTCAAAGGAATCTGAACAAACTTGGCATGTGGAGCACCTTTGTTTGTCTTCTCTGGAACAGCATTCATTTATCCTATTTCTATAAAAGTAGATATGGACAATTAAATTCCAAATGACAATGGCTTCTGTTTAAAATAGAAAAACAGAAAATACTGAATTTACACTGAAATGTGAACCACACTGTAATCCTAAAGCAGTAATGGCAGAGTGCCACGACTGAATACATACAACTTTGAGCTAGTTCAATTCTGCATGTGCAATATGAGGGACAGACCACTCAAATTATGGGACCAGAGTGTTCTTTCTATCTTTCTAACCAAGATATTTTTCTTTTTCATCACAAGATAAAATAAATTTGAAGTGAAATAAAGAATGAATAAGGTCTAACCGAAATATATTATTTTCAAGCATGTAACACCCACTACCTTTAGAAAATGAATTGACTTCTCTGTTATGAAGGCTTGGCTTCCAATGGTGTTCCACAGAAATCATGGTAATGACCATTTTCAACACAGGTACAAAACACTGACATCAAAAGATGTCAGTTTCAGCTTGGGATAGATGTGTCTGTATTAAACAAAGCCATCTGCATGGCATATTGTATTTTACAGCCTCAATTATGGCACCACAATTAACAATGGAGATCTGACAATTGTAATTTATCTGAACACAACATATTGCTAAAATGAATATTATGCGAAAAACTGTAGAATTAAAGTTTTTTAAAGATTTTTATTTCCAACAATTTCAGGGCACAGATATAGTGCATCCACATGTATACTATTAATTAAAATATTTATTATCAAAGAAAAAGAGCAAATCATATGAAAATGAGAGGTCAATAACCTAAACATAATATACACAAGGAACATAATTTTTTTTTTTTATCTCTCTACTTGGCTCTGGTGAAAATTAATATCACTATCCACATATTAAGTCATATGGTTTGGTTTCAACAATATTTATTTCTAACATAAAATATCACATCAAGAGAGATTGCCAACTGAACAAAAGGATTAATTTTTTTGTTTTTATATGGAATTATTAAAATAAGATATCTGTACACATAATTCAATGATGCAACAGTTTTACATAAAAGAATGAAATATCTTGGGATTCAGTCAAAAGATGAAATTTATTAAATTCTGTATGGTAATGGCACACACACACACAAAACACATACACCAACATACACACTAACACACACACACACACACACACACACACTGTCCATCACCTGTTGCTGGAGTCAACCACATCCTGATCCCACAAACTATAGAAAACTTTTACAATCTGATAATTTTTATAACATTTTGTAGCATTACTCATCTTGAATCTATAATAAACAATTTAGGTCTGTTATATACCTTACACTCATATACAGATTTGGTATACAGATGGTGACTAATATATCTGAACTGAATGACTTCATAAAAACCAATCAACTGTGTCTAATTCATCCACAAGTCTTTCAGCAAACACAATCTGTACAAATGGTGGACCAGATGGTCACTGAATATTAGAGACTAATATTTTCACTAAATGATTTATCAACTATGTATATACATGTACCATCACTGACCTAAATATCTGGACATAAAAATTAATATTTTTGGTCTCTTAAATTAATTCATAAACTAATGAAAATGACCCATTTTCCCACACAGACCTATCCCTTGATAATTTGCACACAATGGGGCCCCAAAATGAAGACTGCTGTCTTAGTGGGGGTACATGTTACTGAGGTACGTAAACAAATTTAAAGGAATGAAAGTCCCACTGGTCATTGAGAAAATTCTGGGGAAAGAGGGGGTAACATGGCTGTTTAATGGCTGAATACTCATTTATAATGGAGTCGGGGATAAGTGTTAATAATGAGCTTTTTAAATGAAGTTGTTCACTTTTTTGTACAAATTACTTTTATGCTAAAGATATCCAATCTCGAAAAAATAATTAACAATGTTATTCCAAGAGATTTCAACAACCATCACATGTATGCAAAAACCTGTTATGTCACTGTTTTTTGTTGTTGTTCATTTACAACTAAACAAGATTCTCTTCTTGTAAAACCTTATGACATTTCTTAATGGAACAACCATCAATCCTAAAAATCAATGTTTTTTAATTGCTCTATTACAAAATTATTGCAGCCAAGATTTCATTGTAAGTAATGGTGAAACTAATCTCATCCTTGATGAACCCTGCCAGTCAGACAAGCTGTGAATGACTATGCTAATTTACCTTCAAGTATATTACTGTACTTTCATAATAATAATATTTATGACTGATCAATTGGAATGAGTTGACCAGACAAAGGACTCTGACTTCTAGCACTCTTATGCAGGTAGGATCTGCATACCTTAAACTTTTCTTTTATTCCACTCACTTTATTTGCTTGAATGCAAAAGCCATCATTAGCATGATAATACAAAGCAGGATTGCTTTAATTGTGGGTAACACTACTGCAATTACTTCTGCAAGTTGGAGATTAAAACATAGATGGTTGACACATGACTAAATTCTTACAGAAATGCTTGCAGAAATAATAATGTGATTAACACTTTTCCCACTTAATGGGACATATATGACAATTACTCTAAATTGATAAATAGAAACAAAACAAGAATTTCACTTGACAAAGCTTATTTTATTTGTTATTCATTTATTAATGCCACCAGTATACATTAGTGACATTTTCATTGACTGAAATTTCATAGAATATTAAAATTAACAGTGTACAAAGAGGTTGTTTTGAATACAATTTAACAAAATTTATGACTTCTTATTTAAAGATGAAATGCTGATTGAAGTTTCTGAGTCCTAACCACCATTTTTGTTGATAAAACAAGCAATTCATTAAGGTTACAGTTACCAATTTTTATCATGATTTTCTTAACCTTCAACAAATTGGGGACAATTTTATGAATATTTTCTAGTTTACATACATTTTAAGTGGGTTCACAAGATATGCAGGTATAAAATATTGAGGGAGTGGATATTTTGCAGAAATGAATGTTTTTCCCATTAGTGTACTAATGCAGGTATTGTACAAGTGTGTCAGTTATTTACTGCATAATCTACTGTTTCTTGTTATAAATGATATAATTACTGTACAGTAATTTCTATAAACTTGGGGCAAGTTCACAAACTGTCAAATGATATCATGTAGTTAATAAAATATCAACATCTTTCCAAAAAGGAAAGATTTTCTTAAATAACATAAAGATTGTCTTTATTAACAGAACATATGATCAAAATGATAAATTCATTCATGTTATCTTTGGAAATCTTAATGGTAATCCATTCAAAACTGATTTCAAATATCTCAATACTGCAACTCTAAATATGGTCATAATTGCCATAAATATATAATCACTTAGACTGGTTCATGAATTTAATTTCTGTACATCATTAGGTACAATGATACACCAAGTAAAAAGATTGAAATGGAAATATCCAAAATGAGGTTATCAAGGGGAAATCTGACTTTCAACAAAAGTGACCTGACAAGGATTTCTTTAACTTACAAATCAGAGATATGGATCACTTATACATGAATAAACGTCAACCTGGTTTAGCTTACAGGAAATGGGAAAACAAAGATAATAAACTGCATACATGTTTATATCATAAACTAATCCACTTCACTAAGAATGTGAATTGTCTACATCATGCCCTTGAGTATATCATACTGAGAAATCATGAGTTGTGGAGCATGACTGTCTTTGCTGTCTCTTACCAACACCTTCCTTTAGTCCAACTTACCAACACCTTCCTTTAGTCCAAATTACAGGTAATCCAATCAAATTCACAGTCAGATTTTCATTTATTCAAACACCTGTTTTTGAATACAGGTAAAAATTTTCTTTGTTTTAAGTTCTAACTTAAATGTTATATTGTTTATCAGCATTAAAAACAATATCCTTAGTATCCTTACAGTTTTTGTTATATCGAAACTTATTAAAAATTTTGAAAATATGGTATCTGGAAAATTAAGGTACTTTTATCCCAAAAAAGCAATTTCAAATTTTATAAATTTCTTCTCTTATCTGTATAACTACATATATTATATAGCAAAATATATTTAATTTTGTGAATGCTTGGAAACTTGCAAGGCTTAGAATTATGTTATCTGAGCTGTAGTCAATATGGAAAAGTCTGTTACAATTTTCAGTATCAAATATCGATAATTCACTTTTATTTGGATAGATTTTATTAACTCAGAAAAAAGGATATCAATCATTTCTTGATACAGGTTTTCGGAAGAACTGTTAGTGTGTGTATGCATGTGTGTGTGTGTGTGTGAGTGTGATTTAGATTTTTAGTGTAGTTTTAAAAAATTTTCAGTCATATTGCTATAATGTCTGCAGTGTGACAGTTTATAGTGATGCACTGGGGCATCATGCTGGAGGCATCATGCCGGAGGCATCATGCTGGAGGAAGTCTATAGATCTAACACTAACCTCTTGATATTTAGCACCAAGCAAGGCAGCAGCAGTAAGTACCATTTTTGTAAGTCTTTGGTTTGACTCGGCTGGGGATTGAACACAAGACCTCCCACATTCGAGGTGGACACTCTAACCATTAGGCCACTGGAGCTATCATTTGAAAATTGTTAGAACTACCCAAATCATTCAAAATATTAATAGCCAAAAACATATTGTTGTTAATGTTGTTGTTGTATGGTTTAACACTATTTTTAGTGGAAGATAGTCTATACATAGTGACCAGTAAATATGGTAGAAAAAAAAAGCCAGGAAAACCCCCAGAAAGATCCAACAGCCCACGAGAAGCTACTGGCAAACTTTCTCACATATCCACATTGGCAGCATCCGAGACTTGAACCTACACAGACAGAGGTGAGATGGCAGTGATCTGTAGTGATGAGATCTTAGACCACTTGGCCACTCAGGGTTAAATTTTTATATTACAATAGAGAGAAAAAATAATGTAATATTAAGTATTGTTTAAGAAAGGCATTAAATTCGTGAATGATTTTGTCCATGTGCATGGTTCATGGATATATTTTGATAATTTCAAAACTAAGTTTTCTATTCATATTAATTTGATAGATTTTAAAGGTGTACACACAGCAATAAAGTCAAACAAACATAAATTCAAAAATCAATTATGGCTCCAATTTACAACAGCCTTCTATAAATACCAATGTGTATACTATTATTAACAACAAAATAGGAAGTAGAGGTGTACAAAAGTTTGTTTTGAAAACAATAAAATATGTCTCATTAAGTATCATTATCAACACACTGTATTGCTGCCATTTATTATACTCAAATACATCCCATCGTTTTGAATGAAAATGTGACTTAGATTCTTTCTATTTTTTGACAAGCAATGCATGCAAGTTAATTGGTGCTAAGGTTACTTCGATAAAGTGTTGTGTCCATGGACACACCAGTGTAACCAACCTATGCATATCCAATGTCAAGATTCAAACCTGCATCATGAATACTGTACATGTATTGCATTGTATTGTATTGTATTGTATTGTATTGTATTGTATTGTATTGTATTGTATTGTATTGTATTGTATTGTATTGTATTGTATTGTATTGTATTGTATTGTATTGTATTGTATTGTATTGTATTGTATTGTGTTGTGTTGTGTTGTGTTGTGTTGTGTTGTGTTGTGTTGTGTTGTGTTGTGTTGTGTTGTGTTGCATTGCATTGTGTTGCGTTGTATGGTATTGTATTGTATTGTATTGTATTGTATTGTATTGTATTGTATTGTATTGTATTGTATTGTATTGTATTGTATTGTATTGTATTGTATTGTATTGTATTGTATTGTATTGTATTGTATTGTATTGTATCATATTGTATTGTATTGTGCCAATGTATTTTTTATTGCTTTGTACTGTACACTGTATTGTATGGTATTGTACTATACTGAATAGTGTTATATTTGTATTATATCTATTATATTATTGTATATTATAATTTGTGTAATTTGGTGTAATTTGTATTATATCTATCGTATTGTATTGTATTGTGCCAATGTATTTTTATTGCTTTGTACTGTACACTGTATTGTATGGTATTGTACTATACTGAATAGTGTTATATTTGTATATCTATTTACTATCTAGTATTGTATTGTATTGTATTGTAAATAAATAAAGTTTTTAAAAACCTCCAAAAATAGAGAACAGATTGCAAGATAAAAATAGTATTATGTATATGTTATTTAATTACTTGTGTATTAGTTTTAAATTTTATTTTACTTTTTTTTATGACATATTGTAATGATAACTTTATTCACTGGATTTGATATTTTTTTGTCTGAAAATTCAGTTTAGTTCTGTTTTACCCTGGTAAAAACCAGTATTGCTATATTTTAGTTTTAGCTGACCTAATACCTGAACTAGATTCAGAACTGGTAAACAACTTTTTTTATATTTCTTTCCTAGAGTGAAAATCATTGGTCCATTTCAAAGTCATACTTGGCTTGCATGTCAGTTCCATGTAAATAACTTTTTAAAACTTTTTTCAATCTTATACATTCGTTCAGTAGACTCAAATTCATCCATGGTGTATGTGACAGCCTGCTTATGGTGTTACCGTGCTGTTCAAACTAAGTGACCATGTGACCCCATCGTGTGATCTAAAATTGTAGGTTAAAACTGACCTTTTATAGTGATTTAGTCAGTTGTAATTCATACCTTTGGAGCTCAAAGTAATGTTTGTTGTTGACAGTTGAATTTTTTCTATTTTTCTGAATTAGTGCCAAATTCCTCTGGAAAACATATGTATAAGTGCACTTCATCAAACTTCTTGGACAAAGATATTTATTGGAAATTATTCGGAAATCTAAAGCTGAATATTAATTTTAGTGATTCATCAAGGAACTGTTGATGTGACAACACAAGACTGGCTATAGAAGGCATCATTGCCTTCCATCTAGGAATGCCATTGGGATTTGAACTTTGATTCATTTAGAACTTTTTAGTGATAGGACTTATATTATTAATTCAAGGATTAATTTTGGATTAGATTCACAAACCATAAGTCATTTTTTGTTTTTTACCTTGTTTTCTAGGGAAATAAATCATTTTGCTAAATTTTTCAAAGCTTGTTGGCTTCACTCTTTTCTTTGTTACTTTTGTAACAAGTAAACAAGTAACAATATTGATGAATGATGAGTGACAAATGCTCCTGACTCCACCTCACCCAACTCACACCCTCCCATGTATTTATACTTATTTCAAAATTCTTTATGCTATCCAAAGAAATGAAGACTGATCGATCATGACAAAATCAATTTTCCTGATGGAAAACTCATTACTTAAATAATGTTGATGTAAAAAAAATACAAAACAAGGAAATTAATCAGAAGCAACGGACCGTCACCCAAATTTGATTAAATGCTGGGAACATACTTCCCACAAATATATTTTTGGAGGTCATAAAGGAATAATACTATGGAACATTCTGGACCTTCAGTTCACTACAATCACTGCTGAACATGCAACACCAGAAATTCCAAATCATAATCTAGACTGAAAAACAAGTATTACAACAGTCTATCAGAATAAAGGCATGTGGTAAGTAAATTTGAAACATTACTAGACCATAAATAACCTTCGTCATATCACAGATACATATACTGTGACAAAACAATTACAGCAATAATTACTTGTTCTTGTACAATTATTAATTACTACATATGATATTATTAAAAAAGAAAATAAAACGTCAAATATTTCTACTTGGGCTATTCGACTTGGTCCTGTTATCTTGGCAAACAAGAAAATTTAGACTCTGGGATGCTGTTGTATTGATTTTTCAATTTTCTAACTACTGTAGTAAACTCAAACATAATATAAATACACTTATCTTTTCATAAAAGATATGTGTATTTTTCCTTTGTGTAACCTACGCTACCAGTATGTTCATACAATATCAATAAAAACCATTGTCTAATATATTTCATAATTAAAATTATAGTTTTCTTTCGACATTTACCAATGAGCATCAATAATCTAAATATCCAAACATTAAAAGTAATTCCTAATATCTGGATAATTTGTGTGTAAATGAAGTGTACAATTTTTCACAATTATCCTTTCCAGAAACTCTAGTACTGTATGTCAAATAACACTGCCAGTTTATAGTGGGCTAAGTAAACTTGGGTTGTTTTATATCCTTGCCTGCAAATAAAGAAATCTTAAGTTGTTTTTTTTTTTTACTTTTCTTTTGCCAATAGAGAATACTGGTTACATTCTTTATGCTTCTCTTTTGTTTTCTTTGTTTAAATATATAAAAATTACAGATAAGTGTTCCCATAGGCATAATTATTTTGAATGTATAATGTTTCAAGCTGAGTCATACTTTTGGTACATCCTCTTTTTGTGTATGTGTCCATTTAGTTAAAATGATGATAATGGTAAATACAATGGGCCCCATGCTTGAGATTGGAGGGTGTCTGCATAGATAATGAGAAATAATAGTTAGATACTTAATGTCTCATGTATTGACACTAGATTTTTTGGGCCATCTCTGTATACTAGCTTATGACTAAAACTTCTTTTCATAAGAAGACAGTGGCAATAACAGTTTAGATGACAGAGATGCAATAACAGTTTTACTATTAAAAAGTCATCCAGCAAAAAGAAAGAAAAATAAAAGCAGTGTGGACTAGTAAAACAAAGGCAAAAACATGGGCAATCAAATCTTGGTCTAATGGTTATTGATTAAACTTCACACTTTAAACCATGGATAAAATATATATTAGTTTACATACCAATTTTAATATTTTCCCCAAAGTTGGAATCCAGAAATTTTTATAGTGCTAATAAGAATTATTAATAATTTTGGAAAGATGATGCCTGCAATTATTGAGGGTCTAAATATTCAGATGAATGTTTATTTGAACATATCTGTTTATCAGCTTAAATAATTTAAACTGGAAACTGATTAAAAAAAATGTAATACATGTAGACTGTTCAAAAAATGGTAGCCATCAGGGAATATGTTGTGAAGAAAAATAAAACATACATTCTCTGGATTTAAATCTTATCTAAATCATTTCTAACAAAAATGTTTAATGCAACTAAACAATTTAGGAAATTAAAACATAAATAATATTCAATTTTTTTTCACTCATATACAGACACTAAAAAATTTCACAAGCTTCCAATAATATTCTCTTATGTTTTCAAGTACAGAGATACACTGATTTATTTTGGTTGTGGATGGAACAAATGAGTTGAATCATTTGGGTACAGTGCCAAAGTACCGGATATACACACTTATAAATTAGGACAAACTGCAAAAAAGCAAAGATTCTGATCTGTCATAGCATAATTTGCCTGCAAATCAGGGTCAATGTTTGTTCTACTGATAACTCCTAACAAATTGCACCACAGATTTGCCAGTGAATGATGTGCCAGTAGATCTGGGTCTCTGTAGTTTGCATTTGAGCTTGTCTTATAAGTGAATGATGTGCCAGTAGATCTGGGTCTCTGTAGTTTGCATTTGAGCTTGTCTTATAAGTGAATGATGTGCCAGTAGATCTGGGTCTCTGTAGTTTGCATTTGAGCTTGTCTTATAAGTGAATGATGTGCCAGTAGATCTGGG